AAATGTTACAAAATTGAATACGCTGAAATTTTCAGTTCGTCATAAAAAAATTAATTTATTAATATAACGATATTTTATGAAAGTTGCAGATTATGATCTGTACTGTAGTAAACGTGAAGTTACCCTAGGATCCCACTCATTTTACATCCATCTCTTCCGTGTCATGTATCATCAGCTCTACAAAGTAGGTCAACGCTTATCTCGTGCAGGTATCGCACTCAACGTCTTAGAAGATCGGTAATCCAATTCACGGTCAAATACCTTATCGATCATGTAAGTAGAACGAAAGACTTGTGGAGCACACTGTATGTAACATGTTAATGACCAGCATTTATTTATTTGTATAGATGCCTATTTGTAAGTAATATAAATTTGCCTGCTTTTTTCCAAAGACACTTAAGTAAGGTGAAATTAATTGAAAGGCTTCATGGGGATCAAGGCAGTAGCTGTAATGTTTGCATATACAACGGAATGTTGAAAAATTTTATGGTTCTGGCATGGCCATACCAGGTCATCGTTTTGTCCCAGCTGTTCTTATGTCGTCGAACAAATGTCCTTCCTCCGTATAGTGATCTTAGCAGTTTGTTAACATCAGGCAATGTTAATTAAGCACTGCTTCTTTGACTAATTGAAGTGAACACTTGCTCCTGAAGGGACTTAGCGGCGATCACAACAGTGTCATTGGACTGTTTTTATTATAACGTTTCTTCTCAGACTCAGTGATTTATTTGTGTTTCCAGGAAGAAAGGTGGTATTTCATGAAGGTGTATTGAAATCAGTCCCGCAGAGTAGAATTCTTTCGTTATTGACATGTGCTGTACCAGCGCGAAGTTCTTTCCTCATTTTTTGTTTGTTATTCTTGTAAAATACGAATGGTTGTCATTTTTCAGTTTTTGATTCTGTGGTCAGATTCTCAAATATATTAGATGACGATGTTCTTCTGTGCTATTTTGTGTATGTAAAATATAGCTTCTATTTTTGGCTGTGTTTAAGTAGTAAAATTTGAAACTTGATTAAGTCATTTATCGGATCTTTTGTGTCTCCGATCATGCTTTCATTCGCATATTTGTCCATTCACTCACACGTCTGTTCTTTTGCTCGTTCCTTCATTCATTCATTCAGTCTCTTCAGTGATTCATTATTTGTTTTGATGATGTGAAAGAACATCGTTTAGACACGGCAGCGAAGAAGACATGACGACGCTGATGGGGGTAATTCAGGCGCTTTGTTCGTTTGTAACGTCGATGCACGCGTTCAACAAGTTGGAGTGGATTGTCGCCGGCAAGTTGAAGATTGTTTTCCTTCCCAAATCGCCGTTGATCTTGGTGGCGGCGTCGCACACCGGCGATTCGACCAATCAATTGTCGTTGTTGCTCATTTACGTCTACCAGCATATCTTGAGCGTACTGACGTTGTCACGATTGACGAGGATCTTCGAACAACGCAAGAATTTCGACCTCCGTCGTCTTTTGGGAGGCACTGACAAGATCATCGACAATTTCTTGAATAGCACCGAAACCGACCTGTCCGTGGTCTTGAACGCGTTCCGTTGCCACGCCATGCCGTTCAGCCTGCGAGAGTCGATCGTGCAGACAATGGTGCAGTACTGTGCGAAAGCTAAGGTGCTTGCATTCGCTGATGTCGCTGGTAATTTTAGTTATTAGTGCTTGCTTGCTTAATCGGCTCTGTCCATTTACTGGTGGAGCTTTCGGACCTTCCTTGTGAGTAGTTAAAGATAAGCGGTTCTCTACGCTTTGAAGTAGGGTTACAGTGCAAGTGGATGTTTCGGATCAAAGGCGCGGTTAAAATTTATATTTATAAATTTTAGTTGTTTGGTTTGTTCTGTTTTAACTTAAAGAAGATCAATTGGATAGAAATGGGTAGAACCCAGACTAAAGGCTTTTTCGTTCTTGACACCATAGTTGTGAAGGAGGTACTGTAACATCTGTATGTTCGGAGTGCACTGGCTGTAAACAGACGTGTAGCAAGAGAAATTAAGACGCGCTTTGCGTTGGCATTAGCAGCGAGCAAAAATGATTAAGGCTTTCGACAGACCAGAATGTTGGAAATAGTACAAAACTGCAGATATACAGGGCGTGCATTCTGAACATCATTCTCTATGACTTGACGACGGCACCACTTAACAAAGCTGAAAACGGGAAACTGAAAGCAACAGTAATTAAGACTTTGAGAACAGTGTTTAGAATGGTGGGGCTAAAACCAGAGAATAGATGATATCCTGCTTGTGAAGCGGATACTGAATGCAAAACGTGATGCAGGCGATCACCAAAAAGACCTCGATTAAGACTGAATGATTTAGTTGGAACTGACATGGCATCGAAAGGACTGAAGAATGATCACCTGTTTATTAAATTGAAGTGAAATGCTTGTGCGGCACCCGGCGTCGTCTTCGGTGCTTCAAATGGATGAGACAAAGAGGAAAAGGGAGTAGAAGGATTTTATCTGCGAGAATTCTCTCTTCCTTTTTAATTATATATAGTTTACCCCATGTGTAGTTTGCATTGTTTATTGCGGTATCCAAATGTGATAGCATATTTACGGTAGTGATTTGTTGTAATTCTTTCCGCTTTCAACTACGTTGCAATTGTTTATTTTCTTCAATTTTTTGGAATTAAAAAATTTTTTCTTTATTATAGGCAATGGTGTTTGCTGTGCTGTTGTTCAATAATCGGGTTATCGCGTTGGCCGGACGGAAAAAGTGTTCAATGGCTCCTAGTGACCTGATACTTTTGATTACCCTCATATCTTCCAATCCGTCTTTCAGACATGCTGAATCTTGGA